CACACACACACACATACACACACACACACATTCACACACACACACACACACAGAGAGAGAGAGAGAGAGAGAGAGAGAGAGAGAGAGAGAGAGAGAGAGAGAGAGAGAGAGAGAGTCCCGACGCGTGACTCTCTCTCTGTCTCTCTCTCTCTCTCTCTCTCTCTCTCTCTCCCCCCCCCCTCTGGGCGCGCACCTCGTGATGCTCACAACGAGAATGCCTCTTCTGTGAGCAAATGGGAGCTCTTCTATACCTTTATCTAATTTCTGCCGACTCAACTTTTTCTGTAAATAAATTGAGTGTTCCTGGACTTGGTTCTGCATTCAAGTGCATTGTGGGCTGTGCCATTTGAGTACATTGCGAATACTGTTACGCTCAGATTTGTGACGTTTCGTATAATTGACGGGCCCATTGCACAGAAATGAAAAGACACATTACCGAAAGGGGTGTGCCGATTAAGTGTTTTCACATTCTGGATGTTGTGAAATTCTCAATATCACGTAGTACCGGAATTCGCGGCTGGAGTGGTAAATGTTACCAACCCGACCGCTCGTGTGTCACCATGGTTGCCCGGGCAGCCCGGAGGGGCAAGGGCCAGGGACGATCCCTGTAAAAAAAAAAGCAAAAAAAATCTGAATATCCCCAAAAGAAACTACGTTGTGCAGAAAAATAAAGCGAGCATCTTTTGCCTCAGGGTCGGATTGAAATTCTTTGTCAAATAAATAAAAAAAAGGAAAAAAATACATGCTCTTTTTTCTAGGTTGTTTTTCCGGGCGCCCGAGAGTACAAGTATGCGTGTCGATTGTTGTCGACGACCTAGTGGATGTCCAGCTTGAGTTCGAACTGGTGCCACCACTGTATAGGGTCCGTCTTCGATGCGTCGCAGAAGATCGGGACCCCGTCAAATTTGGGAATGCTCTCGCACGACGACGTGCTAGGGCCGGCTGTTGCGCCACAAACCTGCTGCTCCAGCCGCTGTGCCCCGGTTTTGAGCGTTCCCACGTCTATCTCCAAGACGTTTACATGATCGGCGAGGTCGGAGGGGCCAACGCTGGAGGGGGCGACTGGTCACTGCTCCAGCTGATGTACGCGCTTGGTCAGCCGATCCACTGACTGCTGTAGTGCATGGTTGGCATGGTCGAGAGAATGAATGTCCTCCTGCTGTGCAATGCACGTAGCGAGAAGGTCCGAGACACGGTTGAGCAATTGAGATAGCTTGCTCCGGTAGTCAGCGGATTCCCCACTCTCGGCCTCCTTTTGCCAATCCTTGGCCTGCGTGTGTACCGATTTTCCCCCTTGAATAAAATCTCCCACCGCCGTACGCGTTCTTCATCTGCGGCCTTAGCTGCTGTTGCTGCATGCTTCTGCCGTTGTTCTTTTGCCAGAAGACGCAGCCTCTCTGCTTCTGCCTCCTTTCGTGCAGCTGCTGCTGCCTCTGCCCGCTGCTTGCTTTCGGCGATCGTAGCCATCATCCGTGTCTCATAGTCTGCGTCAGATTCGCCTTGCTTCTGCTCCATCTCCGCTGTCTGTGAGCGAGTGAGTACGTTCATGCACCGCGGATTGCTGACATGGTCACACAGACGTGATAACTTACCAAGGCTACAGCCGGGGGTAACCGATGGGCAGTTGAGAAAGAAGAGGAGAGGGGTGGGACAGAGAGATGTGGGTGTGGGAATCAAACGGATCGCCCAAATAAGGAGCCACTAATCAATCAAAAAAACGACAAGGTTGAACTTTGCTTAAAATTTCGAGAGAAAATAAATAAATAAATAAATAATAATAATTAAAAATCGAAGTTGCAAGTTCGATAGGTCCCCTGATCTTCCCCGCAGCAGATAAACAGCAAGTAAATAAAAAAAAATCGAATTTCAGACTGCAAATGAATAATAATGAATGAATAATATGAATTAATAGAACTGCGAAAAAAAAATTCCGCAAGTTCAGCGAATTCCGAAAAAAAAATAAAAAAATCGGAATTACTCGGGTGAGAGGGATTTCCCGAAAAATAATTTCAGAATCTTGGGGTGACGGTCCTAATCAAATTTCGGAATTTCCGCTACCAGCAGAATGCGTAAAAAAAACAACGCAACAGATTTCCCAAAAAAAATCAAAATAACGGATTTTGGGAATTCCAAAAAAATTCACGGAATTTTTGAATATCGGGAAATTGCAAAAGGACATACCAATCGAAAAAAAATTGTAACAATCTTCCGGATTTCCAGCACAAAATTTCGAATTTCAAAAGAGAATGGAAAAACGAGAATTTCGGACGCTATGCTATTTGCGATTTGAAACAGAAACAGCTGGAACACGAAATCCGAGAAAAAGAAAAAAATTTCGATTTCGGCAGTTAGTTCAAAATTTGCGATTTTGGGGACTAGTTAGTGTGACCTAATCAATCAATCAATCAATCAATCAATCAATCAATCAATCAGTGAATCAATCAATCAATCAATCAATCAGTCAATCAATCAATCTATCGATCAATCAATCAATCAATCAATCAATCAATCGGTCAATCGGTAGATCCGAGATCAATCAATCAATCGGTAATTCCGAGATCAACCAATCGGTAATTCCGAGATCAATCAATCGGTAATACCTAGTCCCTGGCCACGTGTCAGATCAGGTTGATTAAGTCCTGATTCACGTGAGGGGCTCCGATATGAACTGATACATGCCCGGTTGGGCAATGTATGTAGAGCCAAGGATCCGCAATGTGATGAAAAGGACCGACTGGACAATGCAATGTTAGTGAAACATCAACAGGCAATGTGCATCCTGATACATACGAAATGGCATTCGATAGCGCAGCGGAAAACTTCAAGGTAAGTCCTGACCTGACCTGGACTGACAGTACATCCCATCATACATCACACGTGTGAGGAGGAGGAGGAGGGACTGCACACCAAGAAGAAAGGTCCCTCCTTGTACACGCACATGGGGAGACACCATAGACGAGGGATGGAGGAAGAGGCAGGACGAAGATGGAGGCGAGGGAGGATTCCAAGATCGCAATAGCGAAGTCCAAAATAGTCCCTTGGCGATGTCCAACCAATGTCTGCCTCAGAAATGTCGAATCAGATCCTGGGCAACATGCCCACTGTAACCTCTGCCGATATCCCCTGCTGATAACCTCTCACATTCTCGTATCTGAAGAAGAAGAAGAAGAAGAGAAAGGAGGAAGAGGGAGAGAGAGAGATGAGATGGAGGACGAGGAGGGGGAAGAAGATGCCGTCCTCCTCGCTATCTCACCTACAGTTGCTACCGCTGTGCTGACTATGCCGCCGCCTGTGCAGGTACCGCGCGGAGCCCAGCTATGGCGCCAGGTAAGTCCGCTGCTGCAGGTAAGCCTTCGTCTCTCTCTCCTCCTGTGTGTGTCTCCTCCCTGGTCCAGTGGCGCAGCGCTATAATAGCGCAACCTCTATCCAGCAGCGTGTCGCTCAAGAAGTGAGCGACCGAACTGTTCTCCCCCCGAGTCCGGCCTCAGCCCAGCTATATGTAGCGCTGGGCCCACTGGGCGGACTCAGGTACGGCCTCAAAACGGCCTACTGAATCTGGGTCCCTACCGGGTGCCCGGACTGCGCTGCTGATGCAGCGAGGCACCAAAACGCGCATGGCCTTGAAAAAGGCCTGGTCCCTGCGTACCTGGTCCAAGGCGTTGCCTTGGGGCCTGCAGTCCGAAACGTCGTCTGGACCTGCAGTCTGAAGCGACGTTCGGATGGACCCTACCGGTACCTGTGGCCAAAGAGGCCGCTGTGGGCCTCCAGGGTGTGCGCTGGATGGTGCGTGGCCTGGGCCCCCTTAGCAATCGTCGGGCCCTTCAAAACAGGGCCCGTGTGCAGGCGCAGCATGTAACACACCGAGAGAGAGAGAGAGAGAGAGAGAGAGAGAGAGAGAGAAACGGCACCCACAGTGAGATCAAGCAAGAATGGAAGTTAGAAACCATGGAATTCCCAGGTTCCGAACCACATTACAACACCCATGTTTCCAGGATCCCGAACACGTTACAACACCCATGAACCAATTAAAAACAGAGTTTCATCGAGTAGGGAAGACTTCTTCTTCCTCCCTCGACATCGAGCTCTAGCTATGGCTCAGCTAGGTGCCCACCCTTTCAAGCCCACCAATCCCCACACACCCTCCTGAACCCAACGCCACGGCACCAAACCGCGAAGCCCACTGCAGATGAAGTGTCTGCTCAGCAGGTGATCGCAGCTCCCTGGATGAAGAAGAACGCCAACTTGGTGAAGGAGCAGACCTCTGCCAATTCGAAGAGAAGTTGCAGATTAAGCTGCTTCGATGGCATCTGTACAACTACTACAACCCCAACAGGTCACAGTAGGGGCAGCGCCTATCAGCGCTCAGGAACCATAGAGTCTGATGCTGTTGCTGTCACTCATAGAGGTGTCCGGCCCCGGCTATGGCCGACATCAACATGAGGAAGACACCCAAACAAATGCTCAGCGAAGCATCCAGGCACGACCTCTTTTCACCACTTCTTGAAAGGAAAAACAGTATTCGCAAAGACCTACAGCCCACCGGTACCACAAGGCAGAAAACGACAAACAGGGGCTGGGCCCCCTAGTGTGTTTGACGGACTGAGAAGAAAATTACACGTCAGTCCTAACTAGTATACAGGCCGCCAAGAACTGCAATTCATTGCAACTAAAGCTGTATTCGGGCAACTTTCAGTCTAGATACAGTAATAATGACCGTATGACACGGCGTATGTTCTATGCGGGTGAACATGGTAGCGAGTCTTGTAATCAGGGTCTCCCTTATTAAGTTACCAGCATGCAATCTTTTGACATATGTAATATGTATATATCGTTAAACAGATACGTTCATATAAGTTGATATAACTAAAAAAATAATATGAATTCCTTTCAGTTCAGAAGCGTGGCAAGCTGGAAAGGACAATGAAGTCAATGAAACTCTCCTCTCAGATTTTGCTGATTCACATTTTGCGGCGGTTTGGATGATCGGATGAATGTGGCAGACTCGACTTGGGAATTTTCAGTCCGTCGGTGTATGGCGGTCACTTGGGCACATCTTCAGGACTGAGGGAGTGTTGGGTTTTTACAGGTGAGCCATCTATTGGGGGGGGGGGGGGGGGGGGGGGGGG